GGGGGGGGGGGGAGAGGGAGCGAGGCCGTCCACCCCTCCGCTGCCGGTGACAGGGCAAGGCTTCCCCCTCGAGGTCAGCCCTCGGCTGGACTGGGAGGGCTGCTGGCCTTGGCTTTCGCATTAGCATTTCAGTGAAAGCTCCCGGCCCGACCCCGACCCACCCCTACCCCCCGCTGGGCGAGAGGGGAGCTCGCCATCTGCGCCGCAAGAGGGGCGTTTGAAAAATGATCTCGCCCCCTCGCTTTGCCTCTCGCCAGCCCCCCCCCGGGCAGGGAGGGCCCTCGGCCCCCGCGACGAAGGGAGCCGCGTCCAGGCTTCCGGGCCAGGCGGGCCGGCCAGCTGCGCAGCCAGCCAGGCGGAGGCTAAGGCCACCCCCGCCTTTTCCGGTGCCCCCAGCCCGGCTAGACAATGGCCGGACCTGATCCTGCAGGCAAGGCCCCCTGGCCTCAAGAGGTACGCCCCCCCTTACTGGCTCCCGCCGGGGGTGCCTTGCTACCGTCGGCCTTTGAAGAGAAAAGGGAACCTTTCTAACGCCGCGGCCGCGCTCCAAGTGTGCCCGGGGGGGGGGACGCACCTGCAGCCCAAGGATGGATCGCTTCGCCTGGGAGGGGCGGCTACTGCAGGCGTCTTTCTTATTTTTAGTACTCAAAATACACCGACACACGCACCCCAGCGCAGATGCCTATCAGCATACATACGCAGAAACACACATCTGAGGCTACAGTCCTGTACGCTACAGTCCCAATCTAAGTTATCTGATAAGATTTACTTCTGTCTAGACTCGCAGGTCAAAGTCTAGGAGGAAGTCACAGGGACAGTCGGCCCACTAATTCCACTGAAGCAATGGGCCTGCTCCCGTTGCGACTTGCTACTGGATTTCGGTCATATAAAATTATTCTGTAGATGCCCTTCTTTCCAGGTTTGACTTTAATCCAGGCTATGTTCTCATCACCTGCGCGTAAATTTAGAAGGAATCCCACTAAGTTCTTCTCTTATGAGCAAGCAGACTGTACCTAGATTAGGTTGTACTAAGAGTCGATGTAAATGGCTGCGCCATCCGTTCCTGCGCATTTGGTAAACCACCCTGACCAATCCCAGGTTAACAGCCGGGCTTTATCCTTGTTTAACTCAGAGGTATAACTTCCAAGATTGCAGTCTAAATATAGTTAGGACC